ATACAAGATTTGTTTTGCTTTTATGCTTTACTCAACTGTGAGGATTTTGTTCTCATTTTTATAGCCTTTTTAAAGAGCAGATGAAGTAAATCTATATTATTATCATCAGTATTTACTAAGCTTAGCCTGAGAGAACAACAGGTAACCAATGAGAGTCAACCTCATTACAAAAGCAATAGTGTTCAATGGTAAGGCATCCAATCTAAGTATGGAACAACAGAATGCTATAACAGAACCTATCTTATGATTCTGCTACTCTCTCCCTTAGTTCACACAACCATTATGCCATGCCAATAACTCAAATAATGGACTATTCTGTTTTGATAGCATAGAAAGATGGAAAAGACATCTGAGATGCTACTTGGCTCTAGTGAGAAAATAAGATAGTAGTGTTTACTGCCCGTTTTAGAGAAATGGATAAAGTTGTCAATTTCAAATCTTTTCATTTGTATCCCCTTATTTCTTAAAATAATGACCAGCATTCATAGCTATGATTGCTATTGCAATATTTTATTAAAGTTAAGCTCAAATATATCACATTGCAATAGATATTTTGTTATAGAACTCACCATGAACTTAACTTAAGAATTAAATTAAAATAGGAAAACTGAAATTTTCACCATTGTTTCTAGTTAAATAATTTCATGTGTACACTATATACAAAACAATGTTTTCCTACTGAAATTGACATTAACTAAAATTTTTTTTTTTTTTTTTAATCAATACAGTATAGGGATTTTAATTTAGAATCTAATTTTATCAAAAATATTTACATATTTGATGGTATGAGATTGTTATGCATCTTGAAGATTGCTCATAGTTAAATATGGCTTACAGCTATATTACATTGAAACCCCAGTTCTCATCTGACCAAAGTTAAGCAATGTTGAGCCTAGTCAGTACCTAGTTGGGTGACTGCCAGAGAGTACCAGGTGCTCTAAGCTTGGATACCCAGGTGGTGTAATCCCTAACAAAATGAGAAATCTGTGAGCCAAGTTTGTTATATTCACTCTTGTGCAAATACCCTTAGAAAAAGGGGTATGAATTCACCTCTTCTCCCAGCTATGGGTTAAATATTAGAACTTGTATCACAAAATCATTATCTCCAAAAGAGTCTTACAATCCTCAAATACGTTTCAGCTTTATCCTTAAACAGGTTGATAAGCCATAAAAAATAAAATCAGTTAAATATATGTAATTTAATATTTTTTTAAAATTTCAGACATATTTTCAAGGGTCATAAGAAAAATAACTTCAAAAATAAAACAGATATTGCAAAGTTATTGAGTGATGGCAACAACTTAGGAAATTATATAGAAAAAATTTTGCAAATGAGAAAATTAGATTACCCAGCAAGATTATAATTAAACAAGCTGAAGTTATTAATGTAAACAAAGAAAAAAAGATGCAGAGTCTTGAAATTGTTGCTTTAATCAAATTGACACTTGAGTAAAACATCACAAGAGAAATGGATTTGTTACAAAAAATATTTGAAAGTAATTTTTAATGATGAATGCAGAACTACATTACCTGAACCTAATGACTGAGCTAAAAGTTAGGTCCTTGAAGGAAATAGTCAACTAACATGACTTAGAATACAACAAAAGGGAATTGGAGTAATGTTTTGGGCTAGCATTACAGGTAATAAAATTACATATCCCTTCAAATTGGATTGAAGATAAATGCCAGGAATTATTTTAAGTATTTAAACAAGATATTTTTGAGTGGTATAAATCATTCTAAAAAGTTTAACATTCTCCAAAACTGACTATTGACTACCTTGTCAAAAATGGTTTCAAAGACAACAAATTAATGGAATAGACATTGGCCTCTCCAAATATTATTCCAATATGCAAATAAAATTGTTTATTCCAGTTTATTGAATATTATGCTAATCAAATGGTTTCTACAGTTTGCATCTTTTGAATTTATTTGTAGATAAAATTTATTTTGCACCAAGTTTATTTGCCTAATAAAACTTTAAACTCAGCAAATTGTCAGTTTCTTTTAATAAATTGATATTTAAAATATTGAAACTTCTAATTCTATTGCTCGTGTAAATATAGTATATTCTGAAAATTGGGCCAATAATTTGGTTATTTACATTATTTATACATGGACTATTATTCCCATCTTTGTTATCAAAATGTTTCAGCCATTGTGTCCACCAGTCTTTGTCAGATTCTTGACCAAAGCAACCTTCAGGGAATGCAGAGTCTTGAAATTGTTGCTTGATTTGAACTCAAATCTACAAGGGTTGAATGCTCTCATTCCACTGTCCATGTGTAGGGGATATCTTTTCTAGTTATTTCTTAGACAAGATAACCAATACATTTTCTACCTGTTGCAAATATTTCAGATGATTCTTACTGCCCCCAACTCTGTTCTTAGAAATCTAAACATCTGTCTAGAACATTATTTGTGCATAGAGATTTCCTTATCAGTCATCTATAACAAGCATGCATAATGGACTATTAGTAGTAGTCTTTGACAGGATGTTTTAGAACTATGACAATGTAGGCATTCCATTTTCTTTTTTAAATTTTAAACCAATTCAGTCTTATCAAATAAAAAAAGTTTGTCCTGAATGGCCACCCTTCTAGATCTTTTTGTACTAATGCTGGTATCCCCAGAACTACTTTGTTCTTAAATTTTCATCAATGACCTTCCTGGTGACATCCATTCTCAACTTGATATCAATGCTGATAACACCCATTTACTCTTGTCTCAATACTAAGTGATCAGGTCAAATTGAACTGGGGCAAGGAATGGTTTGTTAGTTTTAACAAACTCCAACATGAAGCTTCTATCTATCAATCACCTGAAAGACCCCTTTCTGTCTCCTATCAGCATGACCAGTACTAATCTTCATGAGTGATTTGCTACACTTTCTTGGCTGACATGAAGTGGAAAGATTATACTGAATCCATTGCTAGGTCTTTTGCTAAGTAAGCTGGTTCACTGTGTCATGCTACATAATTTTTCTCCCCTGAATCTATTTTACATATTTAAAGTCTACCATTCATCCATGCTTTGAATATTTATGCCATATATGGTCCAGTGCTCCTGCTGTATATCTAGAGATTCTTGATAAAATCCAAAGAAAAATCAGCAATATTATTGGTCCTCTCATCTCAGCTTCAGCCACTTTCCCACCTGCACCTTTTGTATAAATAGTTACATAGTAACTGTTCAGATTTTTTTTTTTTTTTTTTTACTATGGCACCTAGACTGTAAATTTAAGCACAGTACTAGATTGGTGGCAACGTCTCATCAAGTCACAGTTGAATTGGCTAGAGGTAACCAAGTTCTATACTAATAGTTTCTTTTCTCACGTTTATTGCTTGTGGGAATCTTCCCACTCCATGCCTTCTAGCCAACTTTGAACTTAAAAATTTAAATGCAATGTCAATCATTATCTATTGTCTTGATTACTCTATTGTTCTCAATCCTTAATATTTTCTTCTTTCACACACAGTAATCACTTTTACTCCCTTGAATATGGTTTAAAAAAAATAAAATAAATTTGCTCTAAACAAGGCAATAAAGTCACTAAGATGCAAGGGGTTTCTGAATGAAACAAAGAAAAATAAGAAAAATAAAAACATTAAAAACAACAAACAGGAATGGAATTATGACAGACAATAACAACTGACATTGATCTTCAAAGATTTAAATGCAACCTTGACTTGAAAAGAAAGACCAAAAGAAAGTTCCATCAAAAAGTGCAAAAGAAGAAACTGTTAGCAGAGCAGAACTTACGGTTACATCTAGCCATTTCAACTGCAAAATGAGTCGACCTTGCTGCCAATAAAGTAATGCACTAAAATTCATAAAGTCAAGGTACCAAAGAGAAAGCATGAAAATATTAAAAAAGCACAAGGAAGCGATGCTATAGCAGTGGAAAATATATTTTATTTCATTAAAATATATATAGTGTTATTTAGGCTCAAATAAGGAATATAGATCAACACAAATAGTTCACAATGCATGTGCCTAACATCAAAATTTATACAATAATGAAAATGAGATTATCTATTTCCATACAGGAAACATCAACTTTCATTGACATATCTTTTAGTGTTACTGTTAATTGAAATTTGTAAAATCTCTTAAAAATGATTTCAGAAAATTAGACTTTTAAAGTCTTTCATCACTCTTGTATTGATGGAAATTTCCTTCCAAAACTTGTTTTTGGTAGTGTGGAACGTTAACATTGATTATATGTTCTCCCTGTTAATAAGCTACCATTTTTTTTTTTAAATATTTAAGTTATGTGATTTTGTAGTGCCAGTCTGTACGTTGAGTGATGAAGGATTGTCTTTTACAAAATGTTAGATCATTTTTACTCATTGGTCTGAGAAAACAGTTGTATATAGATGATAGCTTTGGTGGAGTATTTTAGATGTTGTCTGATGTATGCATTCCATTAAAATACAATGTTTAGGCTCAAATAAAGACAATATCAATGAACAAAATGAAATTTCAATGCATATGTGACATTGAAAAGATTTATACACAGTAAAATGAACAAAAAAATTTCTTAAATGCAAAGCATGGTTACAAGCAAGAAAGCAAAGAGGAATTCAATTTCATGAACAAATCAAACTGGCACTCAAGAAGCAAACATTAAATATGAGAAAGAATGTCTTAAAGAAAAATACAAGCTGTTAGAGCCTATCTACTGATTGAGAAATAAAAAATAAATCAGCTCATATCAATGAACATGACAGTATAAAATGGTAATGCTTAACTTTTCCCTTTTAACTATACACACAAATAGATATTAGAATATATAAAATTAAGGTATTGGATTTTATAAACACGGTACCATTATTTACAATTATCATATCCTTCAATAATTAACCTCAAGTAATTTTGGGCGTTGAATTTAGGTCTATTCAAAATAAATGCATTCTAAACAAGCAAAATAATTATACAAGAGCCTAAAATACAAAATGGATACACATTTCTTAGTTGTAGAAATATCATTTACTTACAGTTCACACATGGAACCAGTCTGGTATATTGATCAGATCTGTCCAGCTATGAATAAAGACACAAAACAGGATGGTACAAATAGAGAAAGTTGTGAGGAAAAGAGCTTTAAAATAAATAAAATACACTAAATGCTAAATCACACTAGATTAGAGTTAAGTACCATTTAATCAGATTCACAAATTGGAAAGCATTTTGTAAGCAAAAAATACACAATTCAAATGACAAATAAAAAGGCCAACATGCCTTTATTAGTTAAATCATCAGTAAGCACAGGTTCTGTTGGATGGGTAGTAGGGACACTCATTTTGGAAGGTTAAAAGGAAACTTACACCCAGTGATTTATCAAATCAGCATACAAACAAAGACAAAGAGATAATGAAACAACTTAGTTTTCCCACTTTCACATTTCAAACAGCTAATTTTATTTTCATATTTAATATGGCTCACCATAATTTTCAAGCTTCAAACCAGGACAGTTTCCACTTTATTAGTTTAGGTTCTTGTATAATTAGAGAAAACAAACAAAAGAAACTCACTGATGGCATATATACCAGGATAGTCCCAGCCAGACTGGGATGTATGGTAAAGTTATATATATATATATATATCTTTTTTACAGTAAGGTTCACTCTGTACAAAGAGGGGGGAGGCACTTGAGGTAGAGGGTTACAATAAGGGGTAGTTTATATGGACGGGGGGGGGACAACAGTCGACTCTTGACTTGAACAGGTTAAGATTGTAGTGATCGGGGAAACATCCTCTAGGTCATCTGTTCTACAAGGCAGTGGTTCATGGAAAGAAGCTGTGAGTGGAACTTCTTACTGATGGAATAGAGAGAGAATGGGGGGGGGGTGCTACTATGTAAGTGGTATGGTGGGACCTAACCATGAAAGTCAGAGCTGGTGGAACCAGGAGATGCAGTTCCTGAGCACTTTCCATGGTAGTAGTGATATTTACAGGGTATAATGGTTAGCAAGCTCATGTTGCTAGATCAATTATGATTGAGTAGTGAGTTCAGTCATTATTATTTGCTACATACTTTCAGCCTTGTGCCACAGCTAAACTACACGTAATAAACAGGTATATTTGAAGTCTTCAACATATACTAAATCTTATTTTTAGACAAAGGTTATCAAATTTTCTTTAATCCTTTAATATGTAGGTACCACTAAAAGATCGCTGAAATGCTATGCTTTTTTTTTTTTTAGCAATCTTGGAGGTACCTATTTAATATGCAATCTATTTCAAATTTGAAATAGAAGATAACCTTAATAATGGCTTGATGTTTGCTATTCAATTTGTCAAGATTGTATGATTTTATTTTTATAAAGATCATTTACAGTACAAGCTTCAACTTGGTATTTGAAATGGAATCAAAAAACGTTTCACATAATAGAATTATTTCTTAAAAAAAAAAAAAAAAAAAAAAAAATCAATGAGACTCAAAAAGTACTTTTAACCCAAAGTTACCATTGTGCATAATGTCCAAGAATTTCTATTAGGAATTTCCTAAAAAACATTATGTCCTTGAGAACAGTGATAATACAAAAAGCTGGACCTTAGTGCCACAAAAGTCTAATATAGTCACTGTAGAAATGACAGAATTCACACACAGTAAGGTTCAGCCTTTACAAGGATGAGAGGCCAAATCGAGGTAGAAGGTTATGTTAGGAGGCCATTTGTGTGTATAGGCGTGGAAGATAACAGTTAACCCTAGTCTTGAACAGGCTAAGTCTGTAGTGTTCTGAAAAACATCCTGTTTGGAGTTGGTTCCACAGGGCAGTGATTTGCAGGAAGAAGCTGCTCAAGAAGAACTTCTCACTGATGGAATACAGAGGGAATATGGGTGGTTTGCTACTATGTAAGTGGCATGGCATGTTCTTGCTGTGAAGATTTGCCTTGGCAGAACAGGGAATATAGTTTATCCAAGCAAGTAGTGAGAGCAGCAAGAGGCTTACCACATCCCACCTGTATGAGGGAGATTGAAGGGTGGAGAATAATTCATCACCCACAAGGGCTCAGAGATACTTTTGAACTCTAGCAAGGCTGGGGAGTGTGGTCTGGGCAGCTTCCACCAAAATATAACAGTACTCCATTTTGGGCCTGATCTGTCACTTGCAAAGTTAGAGGATAACATGAATCAGGTACTTACTGGAGTAGTACAGAGAGCTGACCATTTGCCTGCACCCTTAGCAATGGATCGTATGTATGAGGTCAGGTGTGGATTTGAAGCCTAACAGTCTTTCAAGACTGTTCTGCCTCCAGGGGGACCTTGATGTGTGATTTTAAACTATGTGATAGCTCATTTTATTTTGCATAAATAAAACCAGATTTAATAACCAATACATAGTTGTTACTTAAATCAATTAAACTTAAATGTAAAAAATTTACTTTTTCAGTCAATATACTAAATGAAAAGAGATTAACAAAAAAGGAGGAAAAAATGCTATGTATTAAAAATATCCTTTCAATGCTTACTTTCTAGCTTTTGTTTTTTTCTCTCATTTTGAGAAAAGCTTGCATTTAAGCAAACAAAAAACTAAACATTGTTTTGAAGTCTGTACATGGTTATAAATATTTAATATTTTATTTTAAGAATTTTTCCTTTCTAAAATGTTTGTTCTAAAAAAAAAAAAAAAAAAAAAAAAACAAAGTTCATTTATATATAATAGCATGCATATAATTTTGTGTATAAGTACGTTTTGTTATAGATACCTAAAGTAACTGATTGAAAATTGAAGCTCAGAAAAAAAAAAAAAAAAAAAAAAAAATTTTAGTCATTCCATAATATAAAACTGTCTTTTTTATGAAAAAAAAATTTAAAACAAAATCTATCGATAGTCCTATAACCCATTAAGATTTATAAGAGCACTATATGTACAGTAGCAGCAGTGGATGCATGTAAATTAAGTTAGCCCAATGTAGTCTATCTCTTCAGGCAAGTTTTAAATTTAAAATAGTCTTCCCTATTTACAACAGTTTGAATTGAGTTTCCTTTCCCTATACTGGCTGCCACCCAGTCCGAGAGAACTTAGTTTGCCCTGCTATTTAATCCATAACTGGAGGAAGATGGATTCATGCCTTTTTGCCGTGTGCATAAATGCAAAGTGAACAAAACCAGACTTGGTCAGAATTTGAACTCCGTACACTAATTCCACTTTCCAAGCTGAACAGTTACACTACTCATATCCTACACAAAATACTTTCAAATCAATAATTTTTATAGGAAGGAGTGTTAATGCCTGGAAATATCAAAGTTTTGTCGTCATTTTTACCAGAGACAAATTACAAGCTTATTAAATCATTAGATAAATATATTTCTTTACAATTTTCCTTGGTTTCCAAAAGTAAAAACCAATTCATAGTATATAAATTGTATGGATTATATACTAATTGTAAAGTGTAGCTCAAGGTGACAAATACCACAAAGTAAGATTATTTGATTTATTATTTATCAACATTCTTATCTTAAAGCAGTTCAAGTATTATTGGAAGACTGGTATATTAAGTAAATGTCAAGTTCTGTGATAATATAGTCTTGAAAACAATACCAGAGTTGTATTTGAATCTAATGATGTACCAAATGAGTTAAATTCCTTAGTGCCACCAGCTCAGACCTCCAAAGCAAGTTGATCAATTTGTTTTCTACAGCTTAACCCATTGCAGGTTATTTACAACTAGAAAATATTTTTTAGATTGTAAGAAATTTTGGGGGGAGATAAGGATTTAAGTCTTACTAATTAACCCATAGCTGGAGAGGGAGAAGATGCAGATTCATACATTCCACAAAGGTATTTGCACATAAGTGAATATAGCAAACCCAATGGGAATTTTCAATTCAGTTCTCCAATTAATATATTTCCAAGCAATTACCCATTACATCACCAACACATCCAAGCTTACAGAAGCTGATATTCCCAAGCAGTCGCCCACCAGGTAGTGACTAGGCTTGATATTAGTTAATTTTAGTGAGCGTACAGGAACTGGTGTTTCAATGTGATTGAGCCACCATGCTGTGTTCATGGTGGCAAACCATCCTCATTCTCTTAGTGTTCCTTTGATAAAAGGAACAAGTTCCACACAATCAGCTTCTTCCCCAGAATTTTGTGAAAACTACCAGATGAGTACCTGACAACTACTATCCTGGTCTCTTTATGTCCAGGGCCAACCACTATCTATCCTACTCATCCTCAGTATACTCTTTCACTTACTATTTCACTCACTAACCCTCAAATTTTATTGGCCTTTGTATTGGGTGAACTATTGGGTATATTAAAAAAAAAAAAAAAAAAATCCTAGCTTTGAATATTACCAATACATGTTAATATCTTTCAAGATCTGTTCTGGTATGGTTATTATAAAACAACTTACAAAGCATTTATATATAGCATACCCATTTTTTGAACAATGTCCACTGATTATACTAAAAACGTGGAAAAAGTTAATGAAAACTGGTCAATTTTAACAATTTGAAGTGATTATTCAAGGGAGAAAAAAGTTAAAATTTATATGATTACAAGAAAAAAAATTTGTTTCTATGCTATGCAAATAATGAACTGTCATTTTTGAATAATCACTTATAAACTATTTTCTGGCATAAAACAAACCATGTTGCATCAAGTGTTATCTTAATTTAATTTTCTTTGGAAAATAAAAAGTAGGCAATTAAAACAAAAATAAAGTCATGAACTGTATAAAGTAATATATTTCATTTCCAATGTAAAATCACATGTCTGATAAAATGCTAGATAAATTATATTGCAAAATGTTCACAAAACAACATATTCAACATTTTTAACGTGGTAAGCTCTCTTTAACAAAGGACTTATTTACATTAAAACTGGTATGGTTGAGTTATAATACAATTACATAATTGTCATATCCCAGTGTATCACCCCCACCCCATTGCAGTCTTGTTTAGCAACAAAGATATGGCACAAATATGTGCTTTGTGCTATTTTGAATTTTTATCATTCAAAACAAGTTTTTGTAGTATTGAGACTTAAAAAGTTACCACTAACCTTTTGGAAAAAGGGAATAAAAGGTCAAGTATTTAATCTAAGAAAATATAGAACTAGGGAAAATTGCAAAACAGTTTATGCATCAATGAAGAAAACTAATACTTAAACAGCTGAATTCCTACCCAGCCTGTTTAGAAGTAAATTTTAGTATGAAAGTTTAATCAAAATAATTGAAGTGTTCATATTGAGGTATATCCACTAATTTATGATAGCTAAGGTTTAAAATGAAAAACCTTTCTTGAAACTTATTTTAGTTTTAAATTCAAGTTAATAGATTAAATTTAATATTTCCAATAAGCAAAATACTTTGGTCAAATTCAAAACTAATTTAAATTGAGATTTTTTTTTTTTTTCCAAAAATAAAATATACTTTTCTGAAACTTTGAGAAATATTAGTTGATTTAAAGAATAATTAATCTGATTTGAAACATTATTTACTTCAAGTTTAAAATAGAGAAAAGCATTTATTTGAAACAGACTAGCTGTTTATTTAAGGTGTGCTGACAGTATGATAGATCTAATTTTCTACAAGGGACTTTATCTGTAAAACATAATTGAGGAATATAACATGTGCACCTTTATACATAACTTTTAAGTACTCAGTAATCTTTAAAATTTATGAAAATATTCTCTATAATCTAATGTTTTGAATTTTAGAAATGTTGGCTTTAAAATTACTGTAGATTTTTATTTTCTGATAATGTTGTGCATGGGCATCTGTATCTAGAAAAATCATCTTGTTTATGATTTGTAAATAGAGTTTTTACTTAATTGTAATATCTAAAAGGGTGGAATTAATACAGAATTTTTTAAAGATTTAAAACTTAAAAAAATTCTTGGTTTGGTTTATTTTGTTTGATGGCATATCAACCTCAATGGGTTATTTAATGTGGACAAAATTTTTACAGTAGACTTGTATGAATAGAATATGTAGCCTTTGTAAGAAATCAGTTTGTAGATCAGGTTTCATTGACATTTTTGAAAAGAGGTTTTTATCAAGACTCAAATGTATTGCTGGTAAATTACTTAAAAAATTTATTGCTGGTATTTTTACAATAAAAATCTGTTATACTTTCATAATGTTCTGACCAGTTTGTGGGTAACTATTTGCCCATAGCTAAGACACTAACAAATGCTACCACCCCAGGTCAAGGTGGATCTGGGAATAACGGCAATAAGAAGTGGTTCCACACTCCTTGAAGCCTCCCAATCAGAGGCTTTGCTGACGGATGTAGTTTACAGTCATACCCAGGATGAACAATTCATATAAAAATTCATTATTCATCAAAAAAAATTTATTTTAAGATAATAGTGTATTTAATATATTTTTAAAAGTATTTAAAAGCTTTTTTAATTAAAAGAAAAAAAAAAAAAAGAAAAAAGATTTTTAACCAAAATTTTAAACATGATGAAGCATGAACAAAATTTTTTTTTTTTTTTTTTTTTTTTAAATCAAGATTGGGGCCTTTTTTCAGAAAATTTCTGGAGGTAGTTATATAAAACAGTACAAAAAGTATTTTAATCTGTCTAAACAGATTACTGATTATAATATTGAATCTGACAAGTTATTTAGAATTCTAATTTTAGTGGAGAAAAAAAAAAAAGAAAAATAAATTAAGAGAATTAAAGTCTCAAACCAAATAAATGCTTTCCCCGCCATACACCAAAATATGAAATCTTACAGAATTATAAAAAGCTAAACTCCATAAATGTTATGATCCTCAATATATCCAAAGTGATATTTTAGTTAAAATACAGAAATTAATCTAGTTTAACCTGAAACAAATTTTTAAAATACAAATCCTTAACTAGAGACCTGAGTAGATTAAAAAAAACTTCAAGTGGAATAATTTGAAAATATTTTCTTTATACAAAAAAAAAAAAAAAAAAAAAAAAAAAAACTAAATAAAGTTCACTTTATATTTGATATTTTCTAACATCATTTTATTGTTAAAGATAACCATGCAAACAAAGTTTTACTGTTTTTTTTTGTTTGTTTTTTTTTTTAAAAAAAAATGGTGGCTCTACAAGAGGTAGATTTGTAGAAGACATAAAAACTAGTAGCATTTGAAAGTGTAAACCCAAAATCCATTAGTACTACTTCAGCTCCAGTTTAAAATCATTTTAATGTTAAATCAATTTTTTTGGTGTAGGTTAATAGCTATGTTCCTGTAGGTTGTAACAATTTTCTTTTAAAATTAATAGCATTAACAAGTAGAATTAAAAAAAAAGAGGCTTTAAAACGGATACAAAAATAAAAGCTTTCTTATGGAAAAAAAAAAAAAAAAAAAGGGGAAAAAAGCTATGTATTTCACTCTATAGATAGAGAAGAGATTAAGAAACTAGAGACAACAGAAACAGTGGTTCTACAGAAGGATGCCATGAATACCATGGACTGAATACAACAAAGTTTTAGAAATAACAGAAACAAAAAGGAGACTTAAATGTAGCATCAGAAATAGATGGTTGAAATTTCTAGGGCATTTAATAAGGAAAGAGGGTTTGGAAAATGTGATTCACTTTTAAAAGCAAGAGGAACAGAGGAAAGCAGTGCATGACCTACCTAGTGTGTAAATGATTGGCAGAACAGGGATTAGGAGAGATGGCAAAAAGACAAACTTTACAGAGGGCAGGAAATTGTGAAGAGCCATGATCGCCCACATCCAGAGGGAACATGGCACAGAATTTTCAAACTTACAAAAATAAAGGGTTCTGCCAACTCGGCTCCATATATAAATAATAAAATGATCAATACTATGCACACACTTAAAACTTTAAGAAATAAGTCTAGAATCAATGAAATTCTATTCAGTGTGCAAAACAACGTGCAAGTTTTATTTATAATCTAAATAGAAATAAGCAAGTTAGGTATTTGCAGTACTTTTATAGATCAAGTTGTTGGCAAGATCTGATATTTCTTCTATTGTTAAAAATGATGTCCAGTATTACCCTGCCCAACCTATTTCAAGTACAGAATGTACACATGTGACTGGAGCACTAATCAGGTCAGAGATCACAAGCCACATGCAATGGCTGACCACATTACACCCACTAATGTATAGATAGAGCAAAATCAATCTGATATTTGTAACACATATGTGTGTGTGTGTGTGTGTGTGTGTGTGTGTGTGTGTGTGTGTGTGTGTGTGTGATATTGTAGTTTGAGAACTGGTCAACAGCTAGCAAACATTACAGTACACATTACTTTACAGATTCTTAAGTTGATAGTTGCTACTTAGATCAAATGTATGGATTTTGATTTTTTTTTTTATGGTTTAAGGTTTTCAGGTTATTTAAAGCCAGAAAATATTTTCAGCATGTAAGGGAATATAACAAACCCAACAGGAATTGAAACTTCTCTCCAATAAACAATTCCAAATCATTATCCATTACACTACTTGTACAACCAAGCTTAAAATCACCTGGTATTCCCAAACAGTCGCCCATCTAGGTACCAACCAGGCTCAATGTTGCTTAACTTCAGTGATCATACAGGAACTGGTATTTCAACACATTATTGCCATAAGCCTCAGATATATGGAAAAATTTGCTGAATCAGTTCACTACGAACTCAACTGAAGACCAAATATGATTACTCTATATATAAAAATAAAGACGAGTTCTTTTTTATATATATATATATATATATATATTATTTCTTTGACTCAATCCAACCTAAAAATAAATTTTCTAGAAAGGTCAAGAAAAAAAAAAAAAAAAAAACAAGAGCAATCTCCAAAATCATTCTACTTAATTTCCATAGCAAAAGAGGCAATATTCATTAACTATTAAAAAAAAAAAAAAAAAAAAAAAAAAATGCAGTAAATCACCGATTTAAATTTGTTGAATAAAGTTCACCATTCTGCTTTTGGTATCTCTTGAGTAACTGAAGTAGTTAAGTATTATTCAGTTTTGACAAATGTGTATCTTTTTAAACATCTGCAATATACAAACTATATACAGGTATTTATTCATCAATAAGTGAAATATATTACCAAAATGTACCTTATTGTATGTTTTCAAACTATACTACTAGTTTCATTTGTTAACATTATTTATATAGAAGCTATTATCTAAATAACAGAGGCTAAAGAATGACAAATGATGAACCTTAAGTAAAGTTTAAGACAGATGAGAGATCTAAGAGTACAATTTAAAAAAAAAAAAAAAAAAAATATATATATATATATATATATATATATATATATATATATATAATGTTATTTTTTTTCTTACTATGTGAAGTAAAAATAAAGAGAAAAGGAAATCTTCCAGAAAGTTATTATGAATCAGTTGATGAATCACTTTAAAAATAAATGTGTGATGCTGTAATGTATCATTCAACTGAACACCTATAATTAAAAAAAAAAAAAAAAAAAAAAAAAAAAAAAGACTGAAGAATTGTTAACTGTTTCAGTGGAATAAGAAAGGAATCAAGCAAATATTTCCGCTTTTAGATCAGACAGTTGAAATTTCTAGAGCACATAATGAGGAAAGAGAGCTTGAAAAATCTAATACTCACAGGGCAGATTGAAGGCAAGAGGGACAGAGGAAAACGAGGCATAAACATACTTGGTGAGCTTTAGCAAACAGATGGCAGGACAGAGTTTAAGAGAAATAACAGAAAGACAAAATTTATTAAGAACTATAAAAGACATGAATTTGTGAAGAGCTATGACCGTCTACATCCTGAGGAGGACATTGCATAGAAAGAAGTGAGATGAAGATGGAATAAGATATAACATTGAAATAGGGAAGAGGTAATATCTCATCTATTTTAATACTTGAAATAAAAATAAGTATTTAAAAAAAAAAGATTATATAATCAAGAAAAATGTATTAATTTGACTGTCCAACTCTATTGTAATTGTTACTCAGTAGGATCATATGGATATTTTAATTATCCGTCAGGTACACCTACAACAATCAATATACTCAACAAAAAGGTATACACATTTTAAGCACATGCATGTCCTTGTTGCAGTGTTGAGGTCATGAGGTCAGAATTTAGTTAAACTACAACTTGTGTGATAAAAAAAAAATAAAAAAATAAGATATCTGAGAGAACAAGTAAGACTAAGAGTAGTGATAGTAGCAAATCGGTCATGGCTGAAAAGTTTGGCTGTATGACGAGTGGGCGCTGTCTGCTATAGCCACTGACGAAAGGTGGAGGTGGTTTTCGATGAAATGCAGGGCGGGGGTCCAGTGTGGGACGAGCGCCAGTCTAACCTACTTGACTATCTGCATATTATTGTTCATAGCTAGCACATTAACCAGTTCAAGTTCACCTTTATGCTGTTTTAAAGAGGCATAATGTACACTTGCAGACATCCGACACTTTTTTTTTAACTCAAGATCATTCGCTATCATAATCGGAGTTGAACTGACTCTCGAGCAAAGAGAGCATACAGATGCCAATTGCCAATCAATCTAGTTAACCGATTATATTCAAACGTAACACTTTATAAAGAAAATCAAACTTATTTTTAAAAATCCTGAAATAAAGAAAAGAATTCCAAAATACATTAAGAAGACTTAAAAATAAAATTACTTCACTGAAAAGTTTAATAAAGTGTAAAACTTGTACTGACTAAAAGAAGGGCATTCAGAGACCTCTCTCAAAATTTCCAACACTGGGGAATTACAATAAGTTGAAGGTTCAGCGAAAATAGTGGTTTTAGTATTCAATTTTTAATTCACAAATCCAGAATTGTCTAATAAGAGCTGTATTTATTTACTGGAAAAAAATAGTAAAAAAAAATAAAGACGTCATTGCTTTTTGTTTTTAATTTTAAAAAATTTGTTTTTTTTGCCTACAAAAGACGACTTATTTGCTAAATCGATAACATGTTTTATTATCAAATTTGGTAAAAAGCCAAGACTAGACAAATTTATATATATATATATATATATATATATATATATATATATATAATAAATATAATATAATAAACACAGAAACTCTAATGCAGAACTCAACCAATCATAATCGATGTCAATTAATTCGGCAAAAAAAAACCAATAGTACAATGTAACAATTCTCTCCCCAGCTGTTTATTTCAATAGACCAGTTTCAAAGAATGGAAAAAAAAAATCTATGGCTTTTTAAGAAAAAGATTACGTTTGTCGTAGGGCTCTCTAGAAAGAAAGTAGTTTGGTTATGCTAATGAAAGGGTCTTAAAAGGAAAAAAAGTGGTTAAAACAAGAAAGATGAAGTAAAAAAAAAAAAAAAAAAATGAGACTAGTCCAGCTGACAAAATATTCTCTCCGGCCGGCAATATCAAACAGAGTTGGTGGTCAGTTACAGCACCGATGCGGAACACAATTTGCAGGTTATGTAAAAATACAAAAAAACGCAAGAAATCTTCAAGCTCTATTCTACAGACATTTCATCTATTTGTCCTCTCATATTGCGAATAATACAAAGAAACTTGACAGTAGCATTTTTCCGAGGTCGTGTAAAACAAATATGATTTTTGGTCACGTGAGAAGCAGGGAAATCACCTTTAGGTTACAAAGTCGTTTTCCGTCGTTCTTATTAAAAATCTTCAGCAGATTTCCTTAAATTTGCTTAAATGTTGAAAATATACTATTATTCGAGCTGTCAAAATGTTTAAGTCATATTGGTGTGAATAAAAACATAATAAAAGAGGCGCGGCAGATTCAAATTACTTTTTATCCTTATCTTCCAATTCTGGGTTTACTTGACGTTGAACGGTTGACATAATTTCAATCATACGCAATTTAAAAGGAGACACCCACAAACTTTTTATTTTATTTATTTTTTTTTTTTAGATAGGTATTCATTCGAATTGTGTAAAATTTTTTGCTCATTTCCACTCAACATCATATTTTGCACAAACGATCATTTAATTTTTTTTATTTATTATTACCCTTCTTTTTTTTGACGTTTTGAGATCACACACAAACAAGAAAATAAGTAAAAAATAAAACTAGTAGTTTTGTCAACTTTCCCTTTTTAATGAGATTGATTTTAGTTCCATTTCCAAATAAAATGGTTGTAGATTATAAAATCTACAAACTAAATAAAATAGTAGTAAAGATAATGAAACCAACATTAAGTTGTTGAGGACTAAAAAGCATACGCACGACTTGATTTTATAAAAAAAAAAAAAAAATTTGTCTTTCTCCACCTACACAAACAATAGTAATAATACTAAATTTCAACTACACCACAACCATGTCACCCACGTAATTTTCATTCAGTTTTAAAATCATGTTTCATCACAAGTGCAAAATGCTATAAAATAAAAATAAAAAAAAAAAAAGAACTAAAAGCTAAGTGAATTTTTTTTTTTTTTTTTTTTTTTAAATCGACGTTACTAATTTTTCTAAGAATATTTTTTAAGAACATACAAAAAAAAAAAAAAAAAACTCACGTGAATAGTTTACAACTTGTTTGTATCAAATAACTTAATGTTCAACACTAAAACATTATTTTCTAAATTTAAAAAAGTTTTATATTGTGTAGTATATGGAAAGAAAACATTTGTAAAGAATGAGTTGAGATGCGCGTTGTAGTAACAAAAAACTCTCGTAACTAATAAACAATGATTAAAAATAAGTTACATTTATTTTTTAAGGTATTAGACATGAAAATAAAAGGTCCTCGAATTAAGAGAAAAATGCGAAGACATTTTTTTTTTTAGCGCAAGATCCAGTTTTACTATGAAATCTTATCAAGATGTCCACAGCGTAAAACGGATTTTTGAATGGATGAAACTTAACAACAAACCAGATTTAGTGAGACTCCAGTTTGTTGAATGAACGTGGAAGCTGTTCCTTCAAGAAGAGAAAAGGGAGAAGACCTTCGTAATAAAATTAAGAAAAACACATTTTGCTTATAAATTGTGATTTTTAGCTGTCAGTATGTAGTTGAAATTGACAATCACGCGCTTTTAAGAAGTAATAGCATTTTCTTAATTGAACTAAAAGTGTAAGGAAAACTAATTTCATATAACGAACCGGAAAATACATGTCATTTTAACTTTACGATAGCCACATTTCTCTTTCGTTGAGAAATCGGCATTAAACAAGGTCTATGATCATATGATCAATTCGTAAAATGTTCTGTAGGCAAGCAAGAAAAAGAAAAGTCTTCGCGGGGCAAAATGTTTTTTGTTTTACGATGATCTTGCAATTAATGAAATAACAGGTAAAAAATTACAAAAACATTTTAATTTATTTGTAAAAAAAAAAAAAAAAGTGCGAATTCATCACAACACAAATCATTTGAATGCCAGACTTTCGATTAATAAATACGGGAAAAAAAAAAAAAAAAAAAAACGGACTAAATTAAAATAAATTCAACTAACAGTACTTAAGTAATCATTTCACTACTACACTTATTTATTTAAGAATAAAGAAAAAATTGTTTTAAGTTTAACCAAGAAACTAGTTAAAGTTAAAGAACCCATTCAATATTATTTTTGCTAGGTTAAAGGAGGATAAATAAAGAACTAAAAGAATATAAAATTCATAATCAAATGC